AGAGAGAGAGAGAGAGAGAGAGAGAGAGAGAGAGAGAGAGAGAAAGAAGACGTTGTTTGATGTGAGACGCGTGACGCGCCGCGAGCTGCGAGTTTTAATCACACAGACGATCGCGGAAGCCCTTTTACAATCGAACGACCGCGTCGAATTCCCACTCGCGCGTCTTCGGCAACTATACAGGTCGAGCAGCGCAGCTCGAAAACTAAAGTGAAAGTGCACACGCTCACTTTTTTAATTCACAACGAAGTTTGAACGCGAGATGTCAAGCAGTCGTCTCCCATCCCCCCTTTTTCTCGCTCCCGATTCCTCCGCGTCGCGCATTGTTACTCGATAAATTGCGCAGTGGATGTATACGTGCGGGTCAAAACGAGAACTCACCTGCGTGCAGGGGGAACGATGCTCCTTCCAAATTTCACTCCGACCATGTTGCCTTCGCGTCGTCGAGTCTATGTGAGCCGATGGTCAGCGCCAATCATAGCACCTTCGTGTAAACAAAGACATGTAACTAGCTATCCAGCAAACAGTAGCGTATTCAGCGGCGGAAGACTCTCGCGTGAGAAACTCCGAGTGTGCCTGACAAGCATCGCAATGCCGGGTCTCCTTGCCAGCACGCTGATGCTACTGATGCTGCCGCTGCTGCCGCTGCTGCCGCCGCTGCTGCACAACACTGCACCCGTCTGCAGTGCGCATTAAATTACATCCGGGCATCCGCGTCGAATATCGCATGTTAATAAAATCCCATGTTTGCTTCACTGTCTCTCTTTAACTTCGGCTACAATCGTTCGACGAACTATATAAGACTTCGTTTTGCCAATATTACCGATTCTACCATATATCCGCTGTTGGTTGTGTCCGCTGAACAAATGTATTCCGTCTGGTGGCCAATGTAAATAAATAAACTTGTAAATAACCACATATATAAATATACATATGTGTGTTTGGCTGACGTGCGTGCGTACGCGCACGCGTGTGTGCGTTCGCGCGTACATGCGCGTGCGCGTGCAGGCGTTCCTTTTAATGTTCTTGCTTACTCGCTTACGCACGTGCGAGTATGCGCGTATGTGTTTGTGTGTGTGTATGTGCGCGTGCGCGTGCGCGCGCCTGTGTGTGCGTGCGAGTGTGTGTGTATGCGTGTGTTTGCATGCGATAGTTTTGAGTGTCTACATGCTTTAGAGATGCAATAGGATCTGCTATTTGAACCTAAGCTATAAAGTTGTTCTTGCATGACCCACGGTTATTCTGCTATACACAAGAACCGATATCACTCGTGCGAATATACCTGCGCTATACACGGCCATACAACTAGTTCAGCTATCAGCAGTTGCTGCGCTATATTTGCTCAACATTTCTAGACGATTCTAAGCTACGTTTTAAGCTATATCAGGGAAATACGGTCCATAAAGGTTTTGTAAAAAAAATACAGTGAGAAGCAGATTCTGATGCAAAATTCTGTGCTGGCTGTCCCTTGTGTATTACGCACAAACACGCGTCCTCTCGTTTTGGTTTGTACTGCGACTAGACAACGTAACCGCATTGCATCTATGCAAATGACGTTGAGCATAAGAAATGTGACGATACCGCTAGCATCTTATTTAATTAAGCGTTTTAACATCAAATTTGCAGTCTGTACGGGGTATTCAATACAATTCTAGTTTTTGAACCGCGCGTTCTGCATTCTGCGCTAAATCTCATCTACGTACACGTCTCAATCTACATTATGTTTAGTCGTGACGAAGGAACGAATCGTGTGCTGCTGACGAGCTGAAGATGGCAACGACTGAAAGCACGCAGCATTAGCAGTGACGTAGTCATGCCCCCTGATGACGCAAGCAATCTGCGTAGCATATAGACGTGACAGGGAGATGATGAGAGGAGCGCAGCGTACACACGTCTGTCAATAGTAACAGTCACATCGTTTGAAAATGCCATCAACGATGACGACAATAATTAACAAGATACACGCAACGCCAGAGGACTTGCGCTCAGCATAGAAAAAAACTGTAAAAATCTGTATTTGATGAAATATTCATACATGAGTGCATGGAACGCAAATTCAGAGAAATGCGCGATTTTTATTATCTTCCTCTAATGTTTAATTGTATTAGCCTAATAGACTTAACTTTTCTTAATCCATTTATGTTTCATCACTCAAGTAATTAAATGCAACTTTTGCACCAGGGCATAGTTACATCTTGTTCGGCAGTATGTAAGATGCATGAATGTGAAGTAATGACAAATATACGTTTCGTTTTAGTATCGACATCATCATGTAATTGAGTATTTACGTGTTCGTCTAATATGAAATATCAATCTTATGTGTAATATATGTGTGTGGAATAAACGGACCCAATAATACGTCTCACGTATGTATGTGTGCTTGCGAGTGTGTGTGTGTGTGTATGTATGTATGTATGTATGTATGTATGTATGTATGTATGTATGTATGTATGTATGTATGTATGTATGTATGTATGTATGTATGTATGTATGTATGTATGTATGTATGTATGTATGTATGTATGTATGTATGTATGTATGTATGTATGTATGTATGTATGTATGTATGTATGTTGTATGTATGTATGTATGTATGTACGTACGTGCGTGCGGGCGTGCGTGCGTGCGTGCGTGCGTTCGTGCGTGTGTGTGCGTGCGTGTGCGTTAGAGTGCGGGTGTGCATGAGTGTTAAAGTGTGTGTATTCGTATTTATGCGTTTAGCGTGTGGGTGTTAGTGTTGTATGAGTGAGCGTTTTTGTACATGTGTAAGTATTGACAATAATATACTTACCCATGTACACAAGCGCTCACTCATACAACATCTACATACTATATATATATAATAATATGTAAGTGTTGTATCATGTATGAGTGAGCGCTTGTGTACAGTAAGTATATAATTATCTCGCATCAACTATTAGCGCCATTAGTGTCCACTAAAGGTTTATTTTATGAAAAATTATTGCGATTCAATCTATTGTGAAATGCACAAACGTAAAGAAATAGCTGGTTACGCCTTTTCGTAATTTGCCAGGGTGACATCGCGTGAGCTGCATTGCACTCCCTTCTCTGTGCACAAACTGTGGCGCGCGTGATTAATTGAAAGCATAAACGCGTAATTTTCCGTAATTACACTAATTCTAGTCACTGTACGTGACATGCTAAGAATTTCCTACGTTTCTATTTCTCGCCTCTCTCAGTGTCGCTTCATCGCAACATGTATCGTGCTTTCAGTGTATGCAAATTGATAGGGCAGTGGGTCAGCGTGGTAGGAAAAGGCCAATGGTTAGATCGAGTTTTCCGTTCTTGGCTTGCACGCGGCCAGTCTATAACGTGGTGATTGGAATGAATGCCTAATGAAGTTTTTTGATTGTGCACTCCAATCATCCATTCGGAGAAAAAAATAAGATTATTTTTCATCCGCTCCGGCGGTAGTTGAATCCTGTATAGAAAAGCATTTTTTGCATACATATATAGGTATCTGTAGGCACACACATACACGCACACACGCACACACGTACGTACATGCATACATACATACATACATACATACGTACGTACGTACGTACGTACGTACGTACGTACGTACGTACATACATACATACATACATACATACATACATACATACATACGTACGTACGTACGTACGTACGTACGTACGTACATACATACATACATACATACATACATACATACATACATACATACATACGTACGTACGTACGTACGTACATACATACATACATACATACGTACATACGTACATAACATACATACATACATACATACATACATACATTACATACATTACGATACATACATACATACATACATACATACATACATACATACATACATACATACATAACATACATTACATACATACATACATACATACATACATACATACATACATACATACATACATACAATACATACATACATACTATACATACATACATACATACATACATACATTACATACATTACATACATACATTACATTACATACATACATACATACATACATACATACATACATACATACTACATACATACATACATACATACATACATCACATACATACATACATACATACATACATACATACCATACATACATACATAAAACATACATACATACATACATACATACATACATACATACATACATACATACATACTACATACATACCTCATACATACGATACATACATACATACATACATACATACATTAACATACATTACATACATACATACATACATACTACCCAGATATCAGGACCAAAATACCCCCGGACAATCACCCCCAGACAATTACCCCGGACAATTACCCCCCGGACAACTTACCCCCATGCCATTTACCCCCCATGCCATTCACCCGGGACATTTACCCCGGACAAATTACCCCCGCGCGACATTTATCCCGGACAATTCACCCCCGGACAATTTACCCCGGACAATTACCCCCGCGACAATTACCCCCGGACAATTACCCCCCGGGACATTTACCCCCGAACAATTACCCCGCGACAGTTACCCCCGCGACAATTACCCCCGGACAATTTACCCCGCCGAACAATTTCCCCCATGCCATTTACCCATGCCATTTCACTCCCCGCGACAATCACCCTCCGACAATTACCCCGCGACATTTTACCCCCCCGCCGCGACAATTACCCCACCGGACATTTACCCCCTCAGCACAATTTACCCCCCGGACAATTACCTCCCGGACATTTCACCCGGACAATTACCCCCCGCCGACAATTTACCCCCGGACAATACCCCCCGGACAATACTCCCCGCGACAATTACCCATGCGATTACCCCCCATGCCATTCACTCCACCGGACAATCACCTCCGCGACAATTACCCTCCGACATTTACCCCAGACAATTAACCCCGCGACATTTACCCCCCGGACAATTACCCCCTATCGCCATTACCCCCCATGCCATTCACCCCCGCACAATCACCCTCCGGACAATTTACCCCCCGGCAATTTTACCCCCGGACAATTTACCCCCGCGAACATTTACCCCCAGACAAATACCCCGACATTTTACCCCCGACATTTACCCCGGACAAATCACCCTTCCGCGACAATTACCTCCGGGACAATTATCCCCCGGGACCAATTACCCCGGACATTTACCCCCTGGACATGCGTGCGAGCTGCACGTGCGTGCGTCGTTGTGCCGTGTGAGTACACGCTGTGTGCATGTGTGCGTGCGTTGCGTGCGTGTGTACGTACACGTGCGTGCCGTCAGCGTGCGCTGCTGCTTGTTATCGAACAATATCAGGCCATCTGCGCTGGTTGCTGTCCAACGTGAAACTGCGCTGTGCGCAGTATGACGTCAATGCTTTGAATAAACATGAAACATCGCTATTGTCGGGGGTAATTGTCCGCGCGGGCGTTAATGTCCGCGGGTAATTGTCCGGGCGGGTAAACGTCCGGCGGTGATTGTCCGGGGCCTCCAGTAAGGTGAATGGCATCGGGGGTGCGTAAATGGCATTGGGCTAATTGTC